TATAGTGTTGTTTAACACAACAGGTGTTTTACTGTGGTGTTCATCTGTAAGGTGGAGGTTACTTCCCCAAACGGGCGCTTTAATTTGAGCGGTCCGCTATGCCGTGCCTCACTTATTATTTTGTATTGTACCTATGTAGCCTAGTTATGAACAGCTGCGTACCGTCAGGTTTTACGTTAGCCGCTATTCACTATTTCTTCATGTTTATACAAGCAAACAATCTTAATTGTGAGCTGTTTATATTAACAACTTTTAATTAAAATCGCGTTACAAAATGACGTTAAATGAAAGTTAATGAGTCTAATTAGGCAACTCGATACAAGCTCACTCGGAAATCTGTTACGGAATCCGACTAATAAAGATAAGACGTCCGTGCTTTAATTATTGTGTTTTGCCTCATTCCAAACATGTATCGAGTGAGCGCGAAAAATGTTTTTAAAAAAAATTATTCTATTTCTTCTAAAAATGCCAAATAAGTGTTGTTTTTTATATTTTTAATTTAAAGTATTTAACTGCTAGACTTATAAATCTAAAGAGATTTTACTAGAAAAAAAGTCCACGCGGTCCTTTTTCTAGTAAAATTTTCTTTAATACATTTAGCAGTAAAATGCTAATTAATTAATTAATAATTTTAAAATTCAAATTATAAAAAAAAAACACTTCCTATTTCTTCTTTCAAATCGTTTAATACTTTAAAAGTGTAAGTGTAAGTACTATCCCTAGTATCCCATAACATCACCGGTGAGTGCCACGACCACTTTCACACTCCCGACACGCATTGGGGGGACTGAGGTCCTCTTTTTTATGAGTATATATGCTGTTGGTCGCAGATGACCTTTACAGCGTCACCGGATTGGATGAGGCCCTCAGAATGCGTGCCGAGTGACAGGTGCAGGAGGAGTATTGTCTGTTTTTAGTGGCCCTGTTAAGGGCATTAGGTAGGGCCCTGCAGCTTCAGGGCTGGATGAAATCAATGAAAAAAAAGAAGTAGTTATAATTTTTTTTTAGCATGTAACTGCTCGATGTTTAAATCTAACGAAAATATAACCAGAAAAAATTCCACGCGGACCTGGCAGCAGACGGGACTCGAATCCGCACCCTTCGCAATCTGGGCGAATGCACGGTCCAATTATGCTACAGCGGCCCTCACGGACCGCGTCGAAATTCGTCTAGCCATTCTTAAGCTGCAAGGCAGCGCCATCTCTTCGCATTATAGGTAACCCACAATGTCAAATGAATACTTTTACAAATATTAAACATTTGAAAGAAGAAATAGCAATTATAGTTTAAAAAATTTTTTTTTTAAGCATGTAACTGCTTGATATTTAAATCTAAAGAAAAAATAACCAGAAAATATCCACGCGGACCAGGCAGCAGACGGGACTCGAACCCGCACCCTTCGCAATCCGGGCGAATGCACTGACCAATTATATTATTAAATAAAAAAGAAGTATCCCATTACACAAGCCTTAAACTGATTACTTTGGAACTAGGCTAATAGGTGTGTGTGGTAGATAAAATATATATTTCTGCCAGGGATATCTTCCGTAAGGCTAACTAACTATGCCATGTTTTCTTTATGTTGTGAAGATGATCCTGTTTCACTGCACTCTACTAATTTAGATCAGCGAGGAGGTGAGTGGTTCTAAATGCTCGTACAATTTATATTTAGTTTTAGCATCCGTCCACTCATTAAACAATGGAGTTGATTGCGATGTTGCGATATCCATTATACGGGCGGTAATTAGATTTAACCAAATGCGGGCTGGCCATTAATGGTAAATGTAAAAATTTAACAAGCGGATGCTTGCCCTGATTGCCCACATCACTCGTTTGCGTAATACTGAGCTAATCCACATTCAAGCAATCACTTTTATGCAGGCAGAGATAATTATATGTTTTAAATACAAACAATAATTTATAATTTTAATAGATGGTAACATTGCAAGTGAACAAAGATTTATAACTATAAGTTATACCTTCCTTATGACATATTTTGTAATATTTCATTGATATGTACTAATATTGTCAATATACTATTTATTGAAATGAAGAGCATTGCAGTCTCGCAAATCAATATTTTATGAACCACTAGCGTCCGCACGCGATTTCGTCCGAGTTAAGTTTAGTTTTATGAGAATCGCAGAGGAAGCAAACATTTTCCTGGGATAAAAAGTATAATATGTCTCAATCCAGGTCATAAACAATATGCGTTCCTTTCATTCAAATGCGTGAAGTAGTTTTTGCGTAATTGAAAATCCAACATACAAACGTACACATTTATAATATTAGTAGGATTTGAAGAGTTAAAAATTTTCAGCTGACCTACACCAAGAAGAACCAGAACAAAACCGCACTCCCCCACAAAATCCACCATCGTTAACATTTCCGTTATTAAAAAAGTACGAGACTTTGTCATCAGAAAAGTTAGTTTTTTTAATTAAAATTATGAAATTGATATTGCCTTTGCGCCGGGGCCCGCCTCCCAGCTCAACCTCGTGAAAGTTTAAATTAATTTTTGAATTAAGCCTAATAGCAGTGGTAAGCGATTTCTAAGAAAAGAGTTTTCAGCAATTAATATTTCAATGATTTGATGCCAGTACCAGCATTAATTGCTTTTCATTGACGAATAAAAAATTGGTTATTAATTTAATAAATTTCTTTGTCGCTTAATCTTAATATCGATCGATTAACAGAGTACAGTCTTTCGACAGCGAACTTTCTATGAAGAATGTTTAGAAGAAGAATAATTCGAATGATTAAAATCTCGAGTACTCATGTATAGAGTAAGTATTCACCCCATCGAGGGCGCACGAAGATTGGTGTGTTTCTTATATTTTAATCAGACTATTGCTTGTTTGTATTCGGCTCTCGGTCCGCCGTCCAATACCCATTTACGATCGCGACTGCTAGTGTTGTTCTTTTTACGATGGATTCTTATCGATAGCTTTTGCGAGAGAATTAATCAATGGCCAAGCCTTTCTTAATAATCCAATATATTCATTTCTACTTTACAGGACTGATTAAAATTGGGGCTTTAATATTACAAAATTTCGGGAGAATTATTTTTCGGACTAATATGAATCTTTTTTACAATTTAAAATATTTTTTTTACTATGACTGTATATCTGCTGTAGATAATTTTTGTCCAAGAATAAGCACATCTCTATATCAGGGTTAGTAAATGATACATCGAATCCCTATATGACAATCAAATGTGTACAAAGCCGAGACAATCTACGTCATAAATTATATTCCGAGAGAAAAGCTCGGGGCGAAACTTAAGCCTGACATAAGTGGGCAATAAACTTCAGCCAATTTGTAGATTCGCATCTGGAGGCTCTTATTAAAGCCCGAAAGTTAGTCCTTTTCATCCATCACTCGTAATACGTGTGTGAGTTATTGTATGAAAAATTGAAGAATAAATTGAGTCGCTGCAGCAGCGGCGAGACATAAATCCCAACTGAGCCCTCAATATTGTTTTAAAGGGGAAGTGGCCATAAATTTTATCAGGGCCGCCCAGAGCCGCGGGTCGCTACGCCACGCCACGCTGCGCCGCGCCGCGCCGCCACCGCATCATGCGACTGCGACACCGCTGTCCCCGCAATTTTCCGCCGCTGCATTCGTTGCTCATGCGAATTTGTTGTATTATTTCTGGTGAAATTGAAATCTTTCTCCTGAAATGTGAGTATCGTAATTCCTAATAGAAATACTAACATGTCGATGTCCGATCGAGTTTGTAGTTCTTAAAATCTCATTCGTCTAAATCAAAATAAACGTTATACATTTACAACATCATACTCAATTCTTCAGACCGATTATATAAATTATCAATGTACCCATTTAATACATATTATTCTTCAATTTCTGCATATAAATAACGTTTTACCGCTTTTAAATCAGCGCTCTATCACAGTGGGGGACATTCGATTTTCCATCACGTTGCATAGCCTAATAGCTGTAACAACGTAAAATACGATTTTGATTACGATAAAGTCTTATGAACTGTCGCGGAGACGGGGTGCGGTGCAGTAATAACATATATGGTAATAACTATAACTTAGAAAATCTAACACTATTTTGTAAGAAAAAATATTATTATACCCTAAAAAAATAAACTTTGGAGTCAATCTATTTTTATTAAATTGTGTTATTGTTACTCTTCTCTGATTTCAGTAATACAAATAAAAAAACAACTATTAATGAAGATTGCGTATACTAAAATGTGACCCCGTTAGGGTCCGCAATACTACATCACAAGATTACTGCAGAACAACACAGTAAAAACGTGCGCTAGGACAATATTGTCGGGCACAATAAAAAATCGCTTATTTTTATCAATACGATCTGGGTGTCGGACATTTCGCATAAATGTGATATTGCAATATCGTTCGTCCCCTTTTTAATATCGCGACGGACTCTGCCGGCCGGTTTATGGCAACCCTTGCCGAGTTTTATTCGCGACCTGTTTGTCCTAATATTATGAAAAATTGACGTCAGCGAAAGGAAAACGTTGGCTTGCTTACATATTTCTCTTTTTATTATGTAATTGCATTGTTGCGTAAACATAAAGATTTTAGATATCGTGTTTTTTTGAACGATTGAATAAACTCTGTCTGTCTGATTTAATACGATTGTTTGGTTCACTGTAACCTTGTACGTCTAATAGTTATACCATGATCGTTAAGTTTTAACATTTAATTCTAAAATAATAAAATTTTCTGACAATATACCAGTGCTGTGTTCCAAGACACTCCAACCATATAGCCATTTCGCTACATTCACATGGGCGTAAGGTGAAACATTTATCCACTGTTCATTACTTTTCTGTTAAACAATCTAGTAGTAACGAAACTGTCATATATTTGGTAATATAGGTATGTAACAAAAAAGCAAGAGCTCATTATTATTTTTGGAAAACTTACAAAAACAAAAGTATCGTAATAGCTCTTATATACCTACCTATATAATTTAATATCTATTATAACTTATTTACTCACTGTTATTATTTTCAGGTTTGTGCATGGCCGGCGGATCTCGAATCATGATGGCGATTGTCACTCACGCATCACACTTAGATTTAATCTGAAACAATGAACATATGCACATTTAAATAAAAATATAATTAGTTGGAACGTCTATCTGCGGAATTTACTTCCGCCTTACAGAGGACCACAGTAAAATAACATCTGTCTTCTTTTTAGTGAGTAAGGTTGTAGAGCTCCACGGGATAAAGGATTGTATTTAAGCCTGCAAATCTGAGGCTCGTATTACAGAATGACAACTAAGTCTTGATCTTTACTTGAGTACTGTTAGAAAGAGATGTCGCTATGTATTATATATAGCATTATCCTTTTCTGGCTATGCTCAAGACTAGATAAATTACTGAGAATCTTTCTATAATACGGGCCTGAAAGTGGTTGATCAAGCGCTTTTGTCTGCAACATGGCTAATGCGATGTTCGCGACTGGACTCCACTTACACTTAATGGGAAGTGATGATTTGCTGCGATTTGTATAAAAAAAGATCAACGTCTAAATCAAACCCAAATATTGTGCTAAATTTAATCTACTTACTTTTACAAAGAACACGAAGAATATCAAGAAAAATCTATTTTTTTAAAGCAAAATAGACGTTTCCTATGTATTATTATTAACAATATCACACTTAATATATTATAATATAATTAAATACATTTAAATAGCAGAAACTTAAGAACTACTTAGAATCCAGATTACCTTAACCTACTAATATAAGTTAATAAGTAATCAATGATTGTTCTTTATAACGACGTTTTACACACAGGTGTTTACACACGTCGACATTGTAAACGAACAGGGTTTAAGTTTGAACTAATAAACCAAAGTTACAATTTTTTGTAAAGCTAGGTATCACTCCTAAATATAAGCATGTTCAGTTACAGTACAGTACATGTCCAATTCCGCTGTGTCAGCTGTTTTATAGTAAAAGAATTCTTCTCAGAAAGCAATAGCTGGCGGACATGGGCTATGTCGTACGCGTCTAGCGAAACCTCATTAGAATAAACGATATCCTCTCCTTACGTCCACTCCGCGCGAGACCTTATTACTCCGACAAACTGCCGTCAAACGGCAACAGCCCTCACTCCTACCCAAACTTAAACAAACCTTCTTACTACCACATAGAGCTCATTTCAATAACTCTATTCCGCTTGGATATCCAGCTATGTAAGAACCAACCTTATTACCTAGCTTTAAAGTACAACAGCGTTTGCATCAGGTTAACAAACGCACTATCAGACAGCATCCCTTGAAGGTTGAGACGTCCATGCGGAGCTGTAAATTGAAACTTGAAGGAGGTACTAATAACTCTTTAGATAATACACTATTTTATGCTTCCTAGCGTGTAGTTAGCTGTAAACAATTGGATTTCAATGAACGATACTACACTAGGCCGCAATGAAAGTGAGTCGTTTAATATTGCAAATATAAGAATATAAGAATCAAATTCTTGATACCATGGTATTATTTCTAAAATTATAAATTTAAGCAATCTACTACAGTTTTTTTTACGTAACTTACTTTCATTCAAAATAAGCTTTATAATTTAAGCTCTTTGACTTTCTTAGCACTATAAAATTATCTTTGTTTTAGCCATTATCAAATAAAGCTAGCTAGGAACTTATTTAGGTTTTTATTATCAATCTGATTTCTTTGCGGTCCATTATCTATTTAAAGGTATATGACGTACGGTAAGGAGTTATGACGTCTATATTATTATATTTGCTAAGTTTTTAAAATATCATCATATAGGTACTAACTAATAAGTCATAAAGTTTCATTTATTAATCATAATCGGTCCTATTAAAACGTCCCGCCAAAACTTCAGAATATCTTTTTTCACAAATGATGAACCGTGAACTTTAAGCATAATCCAAAAATTATAGGGGACGAATCGGGATACTGCTCTAGACGGCATATAGCGATGTCTCATTTTAACAATGGGAATTGGGATTAACATTTCTTATTGTAGCAAAAAACGAGAATTTGATATTCATGCCGAACCAAACCAATAATTCAAATGTTATTATTTTCATTAATTTACAAAATAAACTATATGTAGTTAGATCATCCTCTAGATATACAGGATGCGGGCTTGAGTCTCGTCTGCTGCCTGGTCCTTTCCTTTTCTAATAATAATTTCTTTTAAAAAATGTAGATAAAAGGTATTATTAATGATTTCAGTTCTATGAATTGATGGTATGCCTAAGAACTAGTATACATAATAGAAATTAACTTAAAAGCAAAATAACAAAGAGAATCTAGCTTCACAGGTACTTACATATTGAAATGTTTTTTTTTGTAAAAGCTTTACATAAAGCAGTTACTTCAAATGAGCTAAAGAATTGTTGAGTGTGGCCTTTAAGGGTGACTGGGAATTGAATACGGAATTCTACTCTATTGCTTAGCTGTTAACGTCTCTATTTGGGCGTAAAGTTATTCGTTGGCACGTTCTTGTTAACAATGCTTCAAATGGCAGTATACTCGTACACAGTCCATTACGAAATGTAAGCATTAGTTTTAAGACGTTTTATGTCTGTATGAACTTATCTTTTAGAATAAATATTTAATGACCCACAAGAACCTATTGTATTTGAACACTGAGTGCCCGTATATCATCCTGGCAAAGATATTTTTCATTTAAAAAAACCGGACAAGTGCGAGTCGGACTCACCCACCGAGGGTTCCGTACAAATTTCAAGGTACGCAACATAAACAGCGGTATCTTTCTTTCCCGTTAATTTAGAAGTTTTATTTTTCACAGCTTTAAGGGACCGTAGACCTGAGTATAGGTATAAATTTCAACACGATATCTCCACGCGTTCCCGATATAAACTTGACAGACGGACAGACGGACAGCAGAGTGATCCTATAAGGATTCTGCTTTTTTTCCTTTGGAGGAACAAAACCCTAAAAAGGACAATTATTTTAAGGGATCTGTATTTGAATTAACTTCATTGTATTTATTATTTTACCTCGAATGCACTTCGTTAGCGCGAAACGACCACCGAAGCAGCACAAACTCATAAATAAACTAAACGAACTATCAAAGGTCAGAAGCCGTCTATTTAATATACAGCTTGGTTGCGATATACCAATCCATCTTTGGGTTATTTTGTGGCAATTTATTGAGTAAGCATAGCCAGCGCAAATTCAGGCCCTCTTTCCGTGCACCGAATTAAAAAAAAATTACCAGTTACATGCTTTAAAATAATAAAAAATATAACTTTAATTGCTATTTCTTCTTTCAAATGTTTAATACTTGTAAAAGTATTCATTTGACATTGTGGGTTACCTATAATGCGAAGAGATGGCGCTGCCTTGCAGCTTAAGAATGGCTAGAGGAATGTCAACGCGCTCCGTGAGGGCCGCGGTAGCATAATTGGTCCGTGCATTCGCCCGGATTGCGAAGGGTGCGGGTTCGAGTCCCGTCTGCTGCCTGGTCCGCGTGAAATTTTTTCTGGTTATATTTTTTTTTGATTTAAACATCAAGCAGTTACATGCTTTGGAAAAATAAAAATTATAACTTTAATTGCTATTTCTTCATTCAAATGTTTAATACTTGTAAAAGTATTCTTTTGACATTGTGGGTTACCTATAATGCGAAGAGATGGCGCTGAGTTGCAGCTTAAGAATGGCTAGAGGAATTTCGACGCGGTCCGTGAGGGCCGCGGTAGCATAATTAGTCAGTGCATTCGCCCGGATTGCGAAGGGTGCGGGTTCGAGTCCCGTCTGCTGCCTGGTCCGCGTGGATTTTTTTCTAGTTATATTGTCTTTAGATTTAAACATCAAGCAGTTACATGCTTTAAAATAATAAAAATTATAACAATCTTACCAGTTTAGCAATATAAGTTATTTACGGGATTGTGACCTTGTTTTTAGCGAATGTCGCCTAAAAACAGAGTACATGGTAACATTCCGTAAATTACTTATATTACTATAATGTTAGTGACCATGAAAGTTTAAAACAATAAATCTTACCAGTTGTTAAAGAAAACGGAAAAGCAATGTGAATTATGAAAAGACGAAATTAATTTATGAACGCACTTTATATCTATCTTAAAATTCACACGAACAACATATCTTAAGAGCCCTTTTACAAAATTGCGCCGCTGCCGTACTGATCGGCGCTCAGGTAGATTTGCACTAGTATATATTGCATTTTACGGGTGATGTTTCGCGTCTTATAAAATAATTATTAATCAACTAATTTTAAAAATATATACATATTTCAGTAAATCAATGATTGTAAATCGGTTTTATGAAAGTTTGTGGTAGTAATTCTATTTCATTCAATATCAAAATACGAGGTAAACCTGCATTATTTTTAGGGAAAACTCACGAAGGTTAGATGTTTTTTTGATAATTAATAAGATGGAACATCAAGATTCTAATACATTACTTTACAACAAAAACATATTTCTGATTCCGTAGTAATTAATTTGATGTAATTTATTGAATATTATTGAGAGATTGCATTTGAAGTTGTGCATATTATAGTTTTTTTCGTAAACTAGCTGCGGTAGAACGATCAGTACAAAAAAAAGGAAAATAGTATTTGTAAATATTCTACATTTACTTCTAATAAGAAGAATAAATCTACTCTCTACTTCTATTGGAAATTGTCAAAATCTTTTCTAAGGGGGTAAACGAGTCGCTCAAAATTACGATTTTTTGCAAAAAATGTGAAAGGGCTCTTAACAACATCTTACTGTTCTGTCAATGACGAAAATTATTGACTTTTTTGCGAGCATGCAGTCCACACGGATTCAAATATACATGTATAATTGAATGATTCGTCCGAAAAGTAAGAAGAAAAGGGAATATTTTAATAATTAGGTCAATAAATATTACCACATGAGTAAAGAAACGTACAGAGTGGTATTACGACTATAGGGTTGCATTTAGACAAAGCTATATTTTGATTTTCTCATTCATAAAACATTTAAGCACAATGGCCTGTCAAAAATAAAATACATAAAATAAAAGCAGAATGCGCCATCAAGCTCAAGTGGAATGATTTTTTTTTATAACCGCATCGAAATTCCCATCAGCACCTGTTACAAAGGCAGCTATCAAATTACCCGCGACACATCCGCGGCGGCGGAGCGAGCGCGCCTCCGTCCATAAATACGGTATTCGTTATGCATTTCTCATATTCATGAATCCGTTTT